AACTTCCAGGCAGATTTCAAGCGATTACAAGAAGCTCGACAGGTACTTTTGCATTTACATACATACGCAGATGTAGATAGCAGAGGTAGTCCGGCCGTTCGAAAAAACGTATTGGACTCGCCCCGCTTTACTGGTTTTCTAGGTTTCCTAATATGCATAGAAAGCACACAAGGTTTATTCCAAGACTTAGTACTGAATGGTAAACTGAAGTATCTTCCAATGCACAAAATTAGTCAAGACCACATACAAATATTCTTTTATGTCAACAACAACCATTTGATGGTTGTGAAAGTGATTTTTTTTTTCTGATATCGAATATCATGCGTATGAAAACGACTTACTGAATCAAATTTATAATTGGCGAAAGCATTAATGGAAAAATATACTAATGTTTGTTTAAGTTATTTACCTAAAACGGTTGATCCACAGAAATGCATTGTCACAGATGCACGTTATTTAATCCACTTTATAAATCAATAATAATATTAATATTGAATAGACTGCTGAGTTATTAGGACTGAGCAGGCAGAACACCCGTGCTATTGTAAAAATCTTTACCTGATATTCCAAACTCAACAGGCACCATTTTCATATGAAATTAGTAACACTGATGTTTGCAGATACTGCAAGCGTGAAAAACCAATACCCTTCTATGTGAATACGGGCCTCTAACCAACAAACGTAGTATTTACACATTATTGTATTAGAGTACATTTTAATTTTATAGCAAATAGGTAAGGTTGGGTTTTGTTATTTTCGAGTAGGTAAATTCGGGAGAACGATATAATACACAAAAAATATGTAACATAACACAAAAAAGGAACCGAGCAAGAGTCTGTACACTTCATAGAAAAAAACGTACTATTAGACCGGGAGCTGGTGACAGGTGACGTCCCACGATTTTGTCGTGCATGCCTTTTTAAGGCTTGATAACTGGCATGCACTCCCCAGCGGCCCAAGATGATCATAGGATTTTGAAAACCTGAACAAAATTAAAGGGCAATTCCGTGTTTTGAAATTGTATGCCGATATAAAGAATTGAAGTTTTTGTAATAAACACACTCTGGAAAAATTAGCATGCACCCCTCGTATGAAAAACGGTGGTAAATTTCCGGATAACTGTAAAATTTCCGTGATTCCAAATTACTCCTAATAAAAATGAAATAACAAAATAATTATCTAATTCAAATGGCATGCGTTGAATAAGCCCATCATATTATAAATAATAATAAAAGTTGTAAAATGACTGTGCAAATTTAGGTGACTTCTTCCTGCATGCCGCTTTGTTTTAGTTAGTAAATACTATTATAAGCTGAAATGCGAAATGACATGCATGTAGCTTCATGAAAATTGTTTAAATAAACAAAAAAAGATGCTCACGGTTTATATTTATTTTCTCAATTCTTTGATGAATAATTGTAAAAAAAATCAATTCAAACGATTCGAATTTTCCGGGTCTCTAATATAAACGTGGCCTATTATACGTCGACTAGCACGTGGGGTCGCTACTACCCTCCGGTAGACGCTACACCACTGCTTATACAATTTTCGTCTGAGTGTACATGTCCAAACGTAAGTGAATACATGCAACATCATTATTGAACTTACAATTTCCATTCTTCACAGTATTATAGTGAAAATTTATAAGATAGCTGTTCAGTACATGTATAAGTGCCCTCTTCATCATACTTTTATGTTTAACCCGGAGTATTTTTGTAAGTACAGGTGTCGGTTTGACACCATGTGACATATTACTGTATGTATATACAGGGCGTCCCAGGGATACCTCACACGGAGGGAAAGGATATTAAATATTGAAGATAGGAAATTTTACTGAAAGAAGACATCATTTTATTTTTAATAATAACTAGAACTGCATTCACAGATTTTTTAAAAAACGCCTGCTACAACTGGGAATCAAACTCGTGAAATTTCGAAAAAAATAACTCGGCATATTTTATGATAACCATCGAAAGGGTTAATCATAAGGATTATTATTTGCTAAATAACATAGTATTTGAAATGAAAGGAATGTGAATTACGTGATAAAAATAATAAAGTGATTTACAAACTGTAGTACGTATGCATTTCTTTTTGAACTCACAGTTACAATGCGACTCGCAGAAATTTGTGCTTGCGTGTGTGTGTGTGTGGCATGCAGGAAAAAGTCACGGCATTTTTCTGTTTCTTTTGTTCAATTGAGAAATTGATCTTTATTCAATTTTTTCACAATTTTTGTATGTTGGGCTGTAGCTACATGCATGCCATTTACATTCATGACTTTAAATAATGTAAATTTACGAAATACAAAACGGCATGCAAAAACTAGTTACCTAAAATTGCACAGTGTTTTTTGCAACTTTCATCATGCATGCCTCTATTTTGCAACATCCTAGTGTGTTGAAAATTTTCCTACTATTAATTAATTATACAAATTAAGTATCCTTTCAATGGCATGCAGTTTGGAATCACGGAAAATCTGTGTTCAAATTTTACAGAGTTATCCGGAAATTTACCACCGTTGGTCATACGAGGGGTGCATGCCAATTTTTCCTGAGTGTGTTTATTACAAAACTTCCATTCTTTATATCGGCATGCAATTTCAAAAACACAGATTTGCCCTTTAATTTTGTTCAGGTTTTCAAAATCCTATGATCATCTTGGGCCGCTGCGGAGTGCATGCCATCATTTATTACAGCTTTAATTTGTTTAAACTTCCGTATATTACAATGGCAATTCAAATTTAATACTATCACGGAAAAACACGAAAATCCGCTACACAAAGAAAAGCGCTTTTCCTTATGAAGAGGACGCGCGAGGGGGCTAAGCCCCCGACTATCATTGATATTTCAGGGTTAGTTATCAAGCCTTAAAAAGGCATGCACGACAAAATCGTGGAACGTCACCTGTCACCAGCTCCCGGTCTACGTCATCTGGGACGACATAAAATGCGCCTAGAGGAAATCAAATCGCTTAAAGCTTCTAGCTTTTCTAGACATTTTGAACTCCTTGGAAGCTGTCTGGTAAAACGAGATACTTAAACTTGGTGGCAATTTAGAATCTTTGGATAGTAGTGATTAGTTTCATTAGGATTTTTTGCATCTCGAGATTAATGTAGTATTCGTTATCAGTCCCCCCCTTAAACTCTGAAGCCAAATTCAAAATTTCTTTATTCAAATTGGAAGCATAATACAACTTTAAGCTTTTGAACCGTGCAGTTTTTTCTGCACCACATGTTAAGAACATTTTTTTGCTGTGGAGAAAAATAAGCAGAAAAAACTTCACAGCGTCAAGATACATTAATTCAACTTCAATATCGTCGACTAGCATTTTGATTACTGTGTCATACATTTCAAATACATAGGTACATACAATTTATTAAAAAAAAAAACTATTTCGCTGTCTTGGATCTAGAAATTAATGTCGTTATCAGCACGCCCGAAAACTATAAATATAACTCCCATATTTATTTCAGTTAAAATGACAATTCTGCCATCAATACATCTATTTGAAAATATAGAATCCGCCAGTGACACTAGAAAAATAGATTAATAGATGTTGTTTTTGTAAAATTTACTTTAGCTTCTTATGAGATAAAGAAAAACCCTGTTTCATTTAAATTCTCATACAAACGAGACGATGACATGCAGTCCCACAGCACAAGTAAAGAAAGCAAAGAAAACGAAAATATTATTTAAATTTTATTTTAACTTATGTGTAAAGATCATAAGTACCTACTAAAGATATAAATAAACTATCTGATAGATGTTTTTAAAACTTTTTGATTTCATTATTAACAAACATTTCATACATCAAGAACTGTTCATTCAAATATCGTTCATTCTTTTACCATCCCTAACTTTTGAGTTTGTGTACGCTCGAACGATTGCATAGTTACATAATTTTTTTTAAGTGTTTGTGCGTTTTTTGTTTGTGTGTTGTTATTTTTGAAGTGTGCGTTTATAGCAACAACTAGTTCGTATTTGTGCGCGTACTTATAGTTTATGTTCGATAGTGTGCTATACGTGTGTACCTCGTCCTCCACTAAAAAAGGTGAAAAAATTTGTTCAACGAGTGAACGTTACAGCATCTCCATTGTTATATGCCCTAAGCCTCTCTATAATAAGACGACATAACACACATTCACTATAAAAAGTCTTCCGTCATTTTTATATCGATTTCTTCTAAGTGTTAAGAACCTTCGCAGCCTTTTAAATTTATGTCATCGTATCCTCATCTAGTAAGTTAAGACGAAAAATCACTTTGTTAACTTAAAGAGCAAACTTTTCCAATAAAAACTTGAATATGACTAAAGTTTCGTCGCTAATTCCTCAAAACTTTTCAAAAAGCCAAATGAAAAAGTGGTCTTGATAAAACTTTCTTAAATGATAATTTTCATGCAAATCTGCAAATATAATTTCGCTAATATTCATCAATTCAATTAATATATTCTATTAAATTTGTTCTATAATATTGCATTATACTTGTGGGTTAAATAGTAATCTCAGTAAGAGTCCAGTAGTCCTGTCTTTTTTTCCCAGGGTTTGAGGTCAAACTTTTTAAATGGTATTTTATGACTGATATCTATGTTTTTGACCGCCTTGAGTAATTATCCAATATATGGTGAACTACGGAAAGAAATATTAACAATTGCAGGCATTATTTTGGTTTGAAAAAAATTTTTTTTTTTCAAACCATAATAAAAATACATTATATTTGCAATGGGGAAGCTGCAATCGTATACTTATAAAGCGAGGCAAAAAAACTTAATTTTCTAACCAGTTTTTTTTTGGAGTCGTAAAATTTTAATCGATGTTCCTAATCACAATTATGGACCAAAGTGCTAAAATTTTCCAGAAAAAGATAGAGGGCATCAACAGCTTTAATTTGCACTTTTTGGTTTTTCTCCACAGTCACATTTTTTGCCCCACAATCGCCAAATTGTTTTTTTTAATATGCGATTGCAGCGCCCTCTTTGCATATAATCTTCTTAACATTACCAAAATCGACTTTTAGTAGGGAGCCACGACAACTGATTTGAATCCCGCGGAGCAGGGTCGCTGGAACAACAGGGCCTTTTAGGTGCTGGGTCTCGTGAGGGTCGAGGCTTCGGTCAGGATTCTCGGCCACGCTACTAGTGTCACGGGTTGTCAAGATCCCAGTGCAAGCGGAGGCTTAAGAGTCTTAATGAACTGGTGGGGTAAACAAGCGCTTAGATCACTGAATGGTCGGAACCACTAAGGGGGTGGGTTCCCGGAAGTCGGACGCCAAGTCGTAAACACTCACTGTGTGAAAATTGTTTAGTTTAGATACTTACGTGCAACGTCGTTAATAGTATTCTCCTTCTGCACAAGGATCTCTAGCTGGGGCTCAGGCAGCGGCCAAACGGTCGCGAGCTGACAGCCGGGAGCCGATCTTCGTTCAGCGTCGCAACAGGCCCAACGGCGAGCACTCCACGCACCGGGGTGGTATAGTGGTCGTCTTGTGTTGCAAACGCACACTGCCGCCAAATCGAATGTGGATATTTTACTCCATTACTGATGTAAAGATAGTACAACCAAATAATAAATATTTATGCACCTACTAAATTACTTTCAGGTACTTACTAATTTAAAGGGCATTGAAAATATTTTTTTATTATTAATTCTATAGAGGTACTAGCAATAGTTATTGCTAGTTCGGAAAAAATATTGAAAATATTTCTATGAATGATACCACAGAACACAGAAAGAGGTTAGAAGGGTGATAAGCGATCGCCAGTGTGAGAACCGATGTCGCCGTCTCGTCCCCACTACACTTCCACCTAATAGATAATAAGCCAATCAAACGACGCGACATCAAGCAACCGAACGAATCAGCGCTCACAGTCGTGACTGTGAGCGTTCATTCGTTCACACCGATTTTAGCTCTAGTGGTTGTCCCTGAGTCGACGAAATATTATCGATATTAAATATGCCAAGTGCGAGTTGAACTTGACTTAGTTGTATGGAATTTTTTGTATCCTGTCAAAGTCAGTAAAGATAAAGAAAATGATTTAATGTAAAACGCATTACTACAGATAGTTATTTAATGACCTTTAAACAATATATATTTATGAAAAAGGTGACGCTTTGTTTCTTTTTTAAAGTTATTTTCAAAAGAAATATATCTATATATTTTTCAATTACCACTTTAATTGAATCTATTACGTGGTTAGATAATGGGAATTCACCGACTTGATAAAATGAGATGTCATCAAATAATGAAGGGCCAATAAACTTTTTTTATATTTTTGGGACTAAAATTTATTTTTTGACATTTTTCAAATTATCTGCATGTGGTCGTATTACAGTTTCTGCACTTGCATATTTTTGTAACATCACCACGGCCGGATATATCAGGCCACCTTTATCTTTTAACGAAATAAATTTATGTTAATTAATACTTGAATCTAATATCAGATTGGAGGCTCCAGGGCAAATATCGCATTTGATTTTTTTAATTGGGACATGAACCACATTGCCTGCTATGTAGGCAATGACTTGTGTACTGAAATCAGTAAAATCTTCATCTTCATCCATCCTCTTCGTTTTCAGCTGGCTCTTTACAATCTCTTTCTACTGACTGTGTGGACAAGTTAATTCTCTCTATAGTCCAGTCAAAATAGACAAAAATAAGTCATAACTTAGGGATAATTTGCATAGAGCTGAAAATTGGCAGAGACGTTAAATACATCATTATAAATTAAATGACTAAAATCTCCTTCGAAACAAAATTATGGTTCTTTCCATTTTTCTCGAAAACGGTAAGTTTTATCGTGAAAATAGATTTGACAAAAGTTGAAGATCATACAATTCTCTACAAAACTGGTCCAGTTACTTTTTCTCTCACGACACACCAATCGTGAGATATCGCTGTTTTAATAATTAGAAAATTCATATTTTACATATAGAGTATAACTTAGTTACTGCTAAAGCTAAGTACCACAATAACTGTTATAATATCTTTCTAAGGCTTACTATGGGATATTTTTTTTATAATTAGGTATGCAAATGACTTTACCCCACCTGATTTTAAGTGGTAATAAAGTCCAAACGCGAAGATAGCTGGTACAGCAGTTATAAACTGCTACACCAACCATCTAAATATAAATAAATATAAAATAAAATATAAATATATAAATAGATATAAATCTGCATGGAACAGTAAAACAGTACAGTGGTATTGCCTGCCTCCAACATCTGCTTCTGCCTTTTAACACTTGTATCGTGTGTATTATCAAGTTCAAGTGTGGCTAGGCAATGATCTGGACCCAGAAGGAAATTAACCTATTTTCACGACAAAACTTAATGTTTTCGAGAAAAATGGAAAAAACCATAATTGTGTACGTTTGACCTTGAATATTTTTTCTGCAAAAGTAGGATCGAATGGGATTTTTGTTCCACCACATTTCTGCACCACCTATGAGGTAGTACATGTCGGATTTATTTCAACTTTGAATCCGCCAAGTACATTACCTCAGAGGTGGTGCAGAAATGTGTGCATATTACGTAAAAAAGAAATTTTCTAATTATTAAAACCGCGATATCTCACGAATGGTGAGTCGTGAGAGAAAAAGTGACTAGACCATTTTTGTAGAGAATTGTATGGTCTACAACATTTGTCTGACCTACTTTCACGACAAACCTTACCGTTTACGAGAAAAGTGGAAAAACCATAATTTTGTTCGTTTTGAGTTGAATATTTTTTTTGCATAAGTAGGATCGAAGGGAATTTTTGTCATTTTTTATAATGATGTATTTAACGTCTCTGCCAATTTTCAGCTCTATGCGAATTATTCCTAAGTCAAATGTCTATTTTGACTGGACTATAAACAAACTCTTCAGCTTTATATTATATTGTACTAGCTGTGGCCTGCGGTGTTACCTGCGGTTTATTAGGGTTATTTTCCTGCAGTTAAACGTAGCGTATGTGTTAATCCAGGGTGTCAGCTAACTCCATACCAAATGTTATTAAAAACGCTCCAGCCGTTTAGACGTGAAGAAGTAACAAACATACACACTCACAAACTTTCGCCTTTATAATATTAAGTATGATAAATATTCACAATCAGCTTTTATCTATTTCTAAAAGTTACTTTAATTCCATTATTTGGTGCTATAATTCAGTCGATAAAATCTATCGAAAATGTAAAATGTACGACGCAAGACACCACTAAAGTAGATGCAATGACCTTGTACTGCGTGCGGCCACGTGCAGCGCTCTGTGATCCACGCGTCATTCTTGCTCGATCGTACTACATTACGTGTTTTGAATGTCGTAGAAAGAGTAGCGAGCGTACTTTGTCAGCAATGAATATTTTTGTGGAAATATATATTATGTGATTTATCGTTTTATTAATATTTCTGGAATTTTTGCTAAAATATCAGTCTAACTAAGAAGTTTTATACTTACCGAAGAAAAGAAATTCCTGCTTTAGGTAGATCTGATGATTGACTCCTTACTTTGCAAGTAATTACGGCACACGAAGGCATATTTTAAGTGGTAATCACAATACTCTCTCACTGAGCGGTCGCGGGCAACTAAACGACGCGATCGGACGTTACGGTCAAGTTATGAGCATTTGCTCATAACTGTGACGCGCCTGGCCCGCCCACAAGGCCATTCTAACCTCTTTCTGTGTTCTGTGGATGATACTATCGAATAAATGAAATTGTTAAAAGCATGTTGATAGTGATTGTAAGAATAATAGAAAATTAATATAAATTAGTTTATGAACAATACGTACGGCTCCTGATTGTGTGTATCCAATGCAGTCGCTCGCTGTGGTCGCCTACTATAAGGTACAATGTGTAGTCCGTATTCTGCTCAGTGTAGCCCACCTGCGCACAGTCTGTTATATGAACACTCACATTCACGCTTAAATTAACTTACAAATTGCTTAAGTAAAACGAAAGTAATCTGCATTGCAGGTGTACAAGAGTCACTTTATTTACAATAATCCTTCTGCCAAGAGGTGAAGGATTACCATTTTTACATACAAAAACCTCATTTTCCAGTAACTAGACGTGCATAACTTATGAAGTCATAATTGAATGAACACCAAAAAGGGACTCAAATTTCTGCTTATGCCTTCTCTAAATACCAAGTAATCAATGTTTAAAATTTTTAATTAAATTTTCGGTCCAGGGAATGATAATTATTTTCAGAAACGGAAACATTAATGGGTTAGCCTGGCACAGCAATCTAATGAGTTGATCCGTTGTCCAAGAAACAACGTTACCAAAACACCACCGGTCTAGTGCAACATGAAATGATACCAAATTGTCCGAAGGCGTAAAAAATTATAAAGCAATATACCTGAAAAGGGTGTTTGTAGAGGGTATTCTCTCCGACTCCGTCGGGTATCTGTTTACTGAGTTCACCCAACTGCGCCTGTTCGATCGTGTGGATAGATTCCGTCGCGATCCGACCGCGCTCTCTGCGCCTCTGTAATACACTTAGCAAATTACCTCTTTTACAAACCGCCTACAACGATATTGAAATAATATCGTTTGACCACCTATATTACCCTAACAATTTGATTCAAAGTTCTTCATATTCGTATGCGATTTTGTTCTGTGTACACCACATAGTTCGCAAATTAATAAAAAAAAACATAAAATAAAACCGACTTCAAAATCGAGAATGGAACTAAAAAGTAAAAAATAATATCTGGTTCATGATTTGGAAGTCAGGCGGGTCAAGATTGAAAGACATATTACTACCGATCAGAAATGAAAATCTATTTAATGTTTCAATCTTGTCCCCGCCCGACTTCCTAATCATGAACCAGGTATTATTTTTTACTTTTTAGTTCCATTTTCGATTTTGAAGTCGGTTTTATTTATTTATTTTTTTTATTTCATCCATTTTAGTGAAAATTACATCGTCCATAGTAAACAATAACACAATTGACGGAGAAATCGGTGAACATACATAAAAAAACATCGTTCGTGCCTTTGAAATTTGAAGGTTTCCCTCAATTTCCCCGGATTCCACCATCAGATCCTGACTTGATTCCAATATGACCAACCCGGAAGTGCAGTTTCGAAGAAAAAAAAAATTTTGGAAATCGGTCCACAATTGACGGAGAAATCGGTGAACATACATAATATATATATATATACAGTCGAACCCAGAACCTTCTCCTTTTTTGAAGTCCGTTAAAAATAAGGAGGAATTTGTTTTCGTACGAGATACGAGGCTTCCTCACCCCACTTGATGTTAGGAGTTAAATTGCTCGACGTATTCCTCTTAGCTCATTTCTATTCCTTAGTGAATCACAAATTAGGTAAGTACCTACTTTTGAACTCAAATCCTTTAGAATTTGAGCTTCAACACACCCGCTTTGAACACAGGTTTAATCTTAAAGTAATTTTCTTAGTCAGTGATTTGTTCTTAATTCAACGAGCAGTGTAAAATGAAGGATAACAAATTATGAACTTTGTTTTTCTCCAAAGTGAGATAATTTTCCGTTGGATTTTTCCGTTGGATTTTCTGTGCTTTTCACCTGCATATCGCGACAGAGGGCGTTTTGATCGATCTACTCTCTTTAATTATAAAGACTGATTCAGGGCATGTCCTGTTTATCGACGTTAAGCACCGATCTACAGGTCTTGTTTTATAATACGCGACAGGGTCCTAGCGGGAATCATCACTTCTCGTGATAAGATTGTTTGCTTCCTAATGGGGTTTCGCCTTTGTAGTTCTAACATCACGCGGCTTTCCCGATCTTTTCTGGTCTACGACAGACAAAGTGTTGTTGTATCAGTTGATAGTACGATAGTAATAATAAATAATATTAATAAATATTTCCAACACACACCAATTAGCCTAGCCCCAAAGTAAGCGCTGTAAAGCTTGTGTTATGGGGTACCAGGGTAACGGATAGATACATGTCTTTTGATACAACGCTTAAGGCATTCCTTTTTTCTAGATTCCATTTTGTTTCCAAAAATCTACACTAACAGAATCACGACAAATGACATCTCGCATGTCAAAATCCATCAAGCTGTTCAGTGCCCTACTTCATTCATCAAGTCGAGATTATGTCGCTAACATATATAAGGCGACGGTTTATTTTAGGATGATCTAATATATCTAACTTGTTTGAACACAAAATCAGTGATATTAAAGGAGAAAATTATTCGTCCTTTATAAATGCTCCTGTAAGTATAAGAACTCATCTTTTCAAACTTTCGCGGAGAGCCTTTATAACTAACAACGACAACACTACAATTATAATTAATCATACACAGCCTCGATTTCATGTAAAGAATTACTGGCGATTTGTAAAATATGTTGACATAAATAATCACCTTTGTTTCACAACATAATTGTCGTTGAAGTAAGATACGGTCAATTGTACCAAGATGCTTTTCAATTACATATGTCAGTGACATATGTCGACTTAGTAAAATAGAGTCCTAGCTGTAGGGCGTCCTAAAAACGCTTGAAAAACATTAACCTCCGGCAGTCGGGTAAAAACATCTTAGGGCCATCTGCCAAAAAATTACAGGAAGTCAAATCAATTTTAATACTTCTAATTTAAATTTTTGTTTGAAAACTAATAACGTAATTATTTAAGACCATATTTCAATAGTTTAAAATTTTTCATTATAATAAGTAATAATTAATATCTACAATCCATGTCAGGATAATATGAAGGATTTTGGCTAACCGCCACTTAAGATAACAATTAGACACAGGTCAACAAAGTCGTGTAAGATACGTAATACAAAAACATCTATCAATTAGCTAGTTGATGAACAAAAAATACGAAGTAATATAAATGACAGCCTTAAATATGAGGAGAGCTGGGTTTAAATTTTGTATTGTCGATTTTTTCAAACACAATCTTTGAAGTAAATCAGAGCGGTTATCTCTTGGCACCGAAACAAAACAAAGGTAAAACAGACGTTAGACAAAAGACACATTTGCAAATGGAGCATCGACCGACTCTAAATGAAACAACACGAGAGAGTGAGCCTTTTTCAAACAATTAGCACGACTCTCGCTACAAAGGGTCCTTCGTTAAAACTGCTCACATAGCGAGGAACCACGAGGCGTGACTACACATACATTACCACTTCACACCCTCTATTATTATTAGGTAGTGATTACGGAGGGTAAGAAATGTGAGACCGACGAATATAACTCGCGAAATTCTTGGACGAATTCTTTATCTAAAGTAAATCTCAAAACCACACTAAGGAACAAGAACACTACAGAACTAGGGACTTAATATCATAATAAAAAAAGATATGTTTCGAAAATTCAAATACCATAAATACCAAAAACGGAAAACTGTGGGTGAGAGATAGGAAAAATATATTGACTGTTCGTTAAAATGGAATAGCAACAGTTTAACTACCTAGTTCGATTTATGAAATTGATACAAGTAATTTAATTAAGCTATTTATTACCAAATAAAATAAACTATTTATCAATAATGAAACTGCAAGTAAGAGTAATAAGTAAGGAACACTATATAACTGTCCTTTTGAAATTCATCATTCATTATACCAAACCAAAAACATGGTTAAAAAAATACACAATTAAAAGATAAATCGTAAACTAAATTAACCATTTAAGGATTTCATCACAGATATCCTGCGTAGGTGGATACTGAAAATGGAAGGCGCACATCACATATACGCGACGATCTGTATGGTTCGATGCCTTAATAAACGAAACAAATTATATCGGATATGGGCGATAAAATGTAGCTGATTTGTATTTTATGCAAGTACATGGGAAATAAAGTGAGTGTGACTGATTGGTAATTACCAGTGTTTGAGGAGCCGAGGTGCTTAGTGGCGGCGACCGGCGGCGGCGGTGCGGAACTGGTATCACCGGGAGCGCCGGACGGCAGACACACCCAACCCGCGCATGCGCTCACCACCCACCCCTCGGGAACAACCCCTACACTCCATTAATCAAAGCACAACGGAACTCCTAAAGGTGCACAGGTAGGTACTTCATAGATCGGACGCTGACGACGCGATAAAAATATGTTTTCATCTTAAAGAGGTTAAACTAGACACGAAATGAAATCTATAATACCTACAATGCTTTACCTATGTAAAATTCTATCAAATTAATCAGAGACTGTCTTGTCATCCAAAACCAAAATATTTTTAAATACTCATATAGCAACACGGAACTCATTCGGGCTGTGTCAGCTGTTTTGCTCTATGAATATATTAAACAGGACATAAAAAAGGTAAATTTAAAAAAAATAAAAAAACACGACTACTTAATTATACTTCAAATAAAAACTGAAAATAAAAAAACAAGTACAGTAGTCTATAATTCTGTTCTATAGAAGTAGATGGGAAGTTGGTTCTTAGCTACAACATCGCAATACTTATAGGCGTAGGGTGATTTACCTAAACAAACTTTATATTATTTACTTTGAATTTTGCAGAATTATCTTTTATAATTACAAAACCAATATTATCGCGAGCTGATTAATAAATACAGGGATTCCAATAAGTATGTACCTACTAGCGAAAAATGGGTTATTTGTCATTATATTAAGTAACCCTTTATTTGTAACATTAAGTAATACCGTTAAAAGAACAGTATGATTCTGAGTTTTTCATTAAAATTCAATAATCATAAATACCTATAATGATAATTTATTTTTCATCATTTAACAGGAAGGAACTGTATCACAGTTTTATTGTAAGTACTTCGTATGGGATCAGATACTGCGAGTAGCCCATTTTTTTCTTTTTCGCCTAGGTTTTATCTACGTTTATAAACACCTAAATTAAATTTCTTCTTTTGGTATTCCCGCAGTCTACTCCTACATAGTACACCGCGCTATCACTTTGTCATCGTTGTAACTTTTTAAATATTTGTCGAAATGACATAGTGTAAAAGGCAAAATTTATCGCCTTTAAATATCAAAAGCGATAAAAGTATTTGTTTTGATAAAAAATAATTTGTTAATACAAAATGTGCATTTTGGAAATAGATATCAAATAATATTTTAGTTTTGATTCACTATTTTAGCGGTAATGGCTTACACATTAAAAATAGATATATGGTGTCACGGACTTTTTTGTAGAACTATTTAAAAGATACATTTTCACTCTACATTACATTCATGTAACTTTTATTGTTTTTGCAGTGCAGGCCAAAATGACTCGCAGATGGGAGGTTTTTTCCGTCTTATGTGACACTTATTGTTATATTTTGGCCAATTCAATCAATAACTACATAAATTGTTATATATATGTTATTATCATATATGAGCTATATTACTGTTAAGTTTCATTAAAATCCATTCAGTAATTTTTAAGGTAAAAGAGTAACAAAGATCCATACAAACGTAAGATTGAAATAAAAAGCGCAAGTGGTTAATATACAACTTTAAAGCGTTGTAGATCCTAAACAATCATATAAAATGAAAAATGGTGTAAGGAACCTAAACATGA